TTCATTCGTTCATTCGTTCATTCGTTCATTCGTTCGTTCGTTCGTTCATTCGTTCATTCGTTCATTCGTTCATTCGTTCATTCGTTCATTCGTTCATTCGTTCATTCATTCCTTCATTCCTTCATTCATTCATTTCATTTCATTTCATTTCGTTTTCATTTCCATTTCATTTCATTTCAGTTCGTTTCATGTCATTTCATTTCATTTCATTTCATTCATTTCATTTCATTTCATTTTCATTTTCATTTCATTTTCATTTCATTTCTTTTCTTTTCATTTCATTTCATTTCATTCCATTCCATTCCGTTTCATTCCATTCCATCCCATTCCATTCCATTTCATTTCATGTCATTTCATTTCATTTTCATTTTCATTTTCATTTTCATTTCCATGTCATTTCATTTCATTCATTCATTCATTCGTTCATTCGTTCGTTCGTTCGTTCGTTTATTCGTTCATTCGTTCATTCGTTCATTCGTTCATTCGTTCATTCGTTCATTCGTTCATTCGTTCATTCGTTCATTCGTTCATTCGTTCATTCGTTCATTCGTTCATTCGTTCATTCATTCATTCGTTCATTCATTCATTCCTTCATTCCTTCATTCCTTCATTCCTTCATTCCTTCATTCATTCATTTCATTTCATTTCATTTTCATTTCCATTTCATTTCATTTCAATTCATTTCATTTCAGTTCATTTCATTTCATTTCATTTCATTCATTCCATTTCATTTCATTTATTTCATTCATTTCATTCATTTCATTCATTTCATTCACTTCATTCATTTCATTCATTTCATTCATTTCATTCATTTCATTCATTTCATTTCATTCATTTCATTCAATTATTTCATTCAATTATTTCATTCATTTATTTCATTCATTTATTTCATTCATTCATTTCATTCATTCATTCATTCGTTCGTTCGTTCATTCATTCATTCATTCATCCATGCATTCATTCATTCATTCATTCATTCAATCATTCAATCATTCATTCATTCATTCATTCAATCATTCAATCATTCAATCATTCAACCATTCAATCATTCATTCATTCTTTCATTCTTTCAATCATTTAATCATTCAGTCAGTCAATCATTTTTTCCTCCATCCACCCATGCATCCATCCATCCACCTTTTTGTTTGATTTGTTTGTTCGATCACTGAGGCATTCATTTTATCTGGGGACTGCAACGAGGGACGAAGGACACTTTTTTCTACAAGAGACACTAAAAACGGTTTATTTTGTAATAGCGTCGTTGTTGGCACGCCGAATTGCTTTTTTTCCTTGCTAAATCACATCATTGGTGCTTACAACTACAACAATTTCCGCAATTTCCAAAAAGACGCTAGGCGGCGTCGTTTGTGCAAACGATGCGCAAACGACACCATTGGATCCTTTTTGGATCAGTCGTTCGTTCATTCCTTCCTTCCTTCCTTCCTTTCTTCATCCCTTCACTCCTTCATTCCTTCATTCCTTCATTCCTTCATTCCTTCAGTCCTTCATTTCCTACAGTCCTTCAGTCCTTCGGTCCTGCAGTCCTTCATTCCTCCATTTCTTCATTCCTTCGGAAATTTCATCATCGTCATTGGCATCGTCATCGTCCTTGTCATCGTCGTCATTCATCAGACTGCGCGCCTTTCATCACCGCATTTTCTTGTGTATTTATTGTTTTCTCCTTTCCCTTTCCTGCTTTCTTTCCGGCCATGCTGACGTGTAATTCCCGAGAGCGCCTGCGAAGGGTTCTTCGTAAAAAAGCAGCCGTTATATACATCTGCTGATCTAGATCTTCACACTCTCACATTTGCTGATCTACATCTTCACACCTTCATATCTGCTGATCTACATCTTCACACCTTCACATCTGCTGATCTACATCTTCACACCTTCACATCTGCTGATCTACATCTTCACACCTTCACATCTGCTGATCTACATCTTCACACCTTCACATCTGCTGATCTACATCTCGACACCTTCACATCTGCTGATCTACATCTTCACACCTTCACATCTTCTGATCTACATCTTCACACCTTCACATCTGCTGATCTACATCTCGACACCTTCACATCTGCTGATCAACATCTTCACACCTTCACATCTTCTGATCTACATCTTCACACCTTCACATCTGCTGATCTACATCTTCACACCTTCACATCTGCTGATCTACATCTTCACACCTTCACATCTGCTGATCTACATCTTCACACCCTCACATCTGCAGATCTACATCTTCACACCCTCACATCTGCAGATCTACATCTTCACACCTTCACACCTGCTCATCTACATCTTCACACTTCACATCTGCAGATCTCCTCTCGCTCTTCTTTCTATCTCTCTCTTAAGGCGGGGGCGGTGCCGCCGGAGCGCCACGAAACGCAACCCTTTCGCACGAAATGGACGTTGGACGTCAAAAACTGAGGTAAATTGCGATTTTGAGGTGTCACGGGCAACCCTTTCGCCCGAAATGGACGTTGAACGTCAAAAACTGGGGAAAAATTGCGATTTTACTTTGTTCATCGTGACCCTTTCGCACGAAATGGACGTTGAAGGTCAAAAACTGGGGAAAAATTGCGATTTCACGGGTCCGGTCTCTGTGTGTAAAAGCTTCTGTGTGCAAAAGCTTCTGTGTTTAAAAGCCTCTGTGTGTAAAAGCGTCTGTGTGTAAAGCTGTCTGTGTGTGTGTGTAAAAGCTTTTGTGTGCAAAAGCATCTGCGTGTAAAAGCGTCTGTGTGTAAAAGTGTCTGTGTGTAAAATGGTCTGTGTGTAAAAGTGTCTGTGTGTCTGTGTGTAAAATGGTCTGTGTGTAAAGGTGTCTGTGTGTAAAAGCTTCTGTGTGTAAAGGCTTCTGTGTGTAAAAGCCTCTGTGTGTAAAGGTGTCTGTGTGTAAAATGGGCTGTGTGTAAAAGTGTCTGTGTGTAAAATGGTCTGTGTGTAAATGTGTCTGTGTGTAAAAGTGACTGTGTGTAAAAGCCTCTGTGTGTAAAAGCCTCTGTGTGTAAAAGCTTCCGTGTGTAAAAGCTTCTGTGTGTGAAAGTGACTGTGTGTAAAAGCTTCTGTGTTTAAAAGCTTCTGTGTGTAAAAGTGACTGTGTGTAAAATGGTCCGTGTGTAAATGTGTCTGTGTGTAAAAGCGTTTGTGTGTAAAATGGTCTGTGTGTAAAGGTGTCTGTGTGCAAAAGCTTCTGTGTGTAAAAGCTTCTGTGTTTAAAAGCTTCTGTGTGTAAAGGTGTCTGTGTGTAAAATGGTCTGTGTGTAAAAGCGTCTGTGTGTAAAATGGTCTGTGTGTAAATGTGTCTGTGTGTAAAAGCGCCTGTGTGTAAAGGAGTCTGTGTGTAAAAGCATCTGTGTGCAAAAGCGCCTGTGTGTAAAAGTGTTTGTGTGCAAAAGCATCTGCGTGTAACAGTGTCTGTGTGTAACTGTCGACATCTTTCTTCTGTGGATATGGTTCTGCATGCATTTTTTGGAGATTGTGTTTTGTGATTGTTCCATGTTCTGTCTCCGTACGAGTGAACAACTATGCATGATCGTGCAGTCTGCAATTTCTGAGGTGACTCTTGCGCCAGTTTGGTACCGGCCTGGGTTTTTGATGGATGTTTTTGGTCTTGAAGTAAATCAAATTAGTGGAATGTGTTCAGCGCTGTGCTGTGCACTAAGGTTGGCACTTCTGAGCCACGACGTTTCACTGCGATTTCAAAGCATCATTTCGTGTTGGTATGTGTTCTAAAAGCGTCGGCCTGTAAAAGCGCCTCTGTGTAACGGGTTTTGTCCATAAGAGCGTCTGTGTGTACAAGAGTGTGTGAGTAAAAGCTTCTGTGTGGAAAAGCGTCTTGGTGTAAAAGCTTCTGCGTGTAAATGTGCCTGTGTGTAAAAGTGTCTGTGTGTAAAAATCTCGGTCTGTAAAAGTGTCTGTGTGTAAAAGCTTCTGTGTGCAAAGGCCTTTATGTGTAAAAGCGTCTGTGTGTAAAAGTATAAAAGGGTCTGTGTGTTAAAGTGTCCGTGTGTAAAAGTTTTTGTGCGTGTAAAAGCGTCTCTGTGTGAAAGCGTCTGTGTGTAAAAATGTCTGCCTGTAAAAACGTCTGTGTGTAAAAGCGTCTCTGTATAAAAGCGTCTCTGTATAAAAAGCGTCGTGTTTCTTCACGTCCACGGAATGATGGTGCCGAGCTTTTTCCGCAATGTGTGTGGGAATTACCATAGTAAAATGAGATAACATATGTCATTCGCAGACTCATGGTACCGAGCCTCCTGTGCACTTTTGTTGCTCACATTATATTTCGCCATGTTTTCTTTCTACTTCCCCCCCCCTTTCATTCTCTCTCTCTCTCTCTCTCCCTCCTCCCTCTTTCTCTCTGTGGTTGCAAGACACGTGTCATCTGATGCCCTTTACCAAGTATCCTCTTCTTGATCAATCTTACTTTTTCACACCATATCCTTCCATAGCTCATATAAAATTCACCAACTATTCACCGACTATCTTTTACAACTACCATCCTCAGAGCTGCTTGAAAAACATCTTTTTCGCTCTCGGGCCAACCGTCGTCTAGTTTTTTAAATGTGCGTAGGTATGTATACGGCATTCATGCGCGTTTGTATGCCTACACGCAGGCACGCGTTTGTATGCCTACACGCAGGCACGCGTTTGTATGCCTACACGCAGGCACGTACGTACTTGCGAGACATGTCAGATTCGTATCGCAGCAAAAATCGCCTTCATGCGTAGTAAGAGATGTCAGCTTGGGCCAAAGCCAGCCGGTCTGTTTCTCAAATTCGGGGTGCGCGGTGATCTTTGTCCGCCAGCTGTTGCTCAGAATCTTTCCTTTGTTTTGCAGCTGGCACTGGCGCGCTAACGTGACAGCTTTTCGCGTGGGTTGTTGAAAAGCTGCGAACGCTAGTCAAATCCGGGAGCAGCGGCTCATTTTGTGGTTTGTAGGCGGGTGTATTTGGCTCATGTCGCCGAAAGAAAGTGTGAATGGGCTTGCTTGTGCCAAGGCGAAGCGCTGGGATGCACCCAGTTGCTTGGCAATCAGTGGGGGTTGGGTGAGCGGTTCTTCCTATCTTTATGTTGGGTTTCTTTTCCACGCATCATTCTTCTCGCTTACATCCTCACTGATCTCTTTAAAAATTAAGTTACACCATCGTAGCTAGTCTTTGCTGCAACTTTCCTTCAGGGTCAAATATCCCTACCGTACGTTCTCTCTGCCATTTCTATCAATTTTCCTGCTGTCTACAACTTCCTTCCAGTGCAAGTCACGGTGCTTGGTGCGTGTCCATTGCGTGTCGCGTGGCAGGTGCAGATTCTGCTGCTCATGCTTTGCGCTTGTTGGCGGCCTTTGAGCTTGTACGGCACTTTGAGCAGTGCTGCTTCACGTGCCACGCGGAGCGATGGCTGGTGATGATGATGACTACCCTGCGTGATAATGGACAAAGGCCGGCTGGAGAACGCTTTTAATCATGTGCTTTGCATGTCCCGCGCGGTGTGAAAATCATTCTAGCTTTGGTTTTTTCATTCTTGGATCCGGAAATGAAACAGATGCGCATCACCGGTGATTGTGGTTGCGTGACATTGATGTGGTTACCTTTGCTCGCCAACATTGGAACAGCAATGGATGCGGCTCGCAGACCATCGGCCCCCCTTGCTTCAAACGCACCTGCATGCCTGGCCTGGCTGCTGCTTGTTTGTGTTCCTTGCGCGCTTTGCCTTGCACTACCCCATGGCAATTCATAAGAACGCCACGCTCTTGCTCCACTATTTCAGAGCAAATCAGGAATGGCGTGAGATCGTTTTTGGATGAGAGACTGAAAGTGTGCCTTTAGTAGCTTATTGTTGTTTGTGACCTGGTTCCTGCTGGTGCCACTGTCACAGCAGCCTAGTAACATCATCACCACCATCACCGCCATCACCATCATCAACATCGTCGTCGTCGTCATCATCATCATCATCCTCCTCCTTTTGGTGCATGCTGACACTTGGAGCCGTGCACCAGCAAAAAGGCAGCGACAAAGCTTTCCCGCAAACTTGACACGTGATCGAAACAACAAGCCTTGAATGACGTGTGATGTTTGGTTGAAGTTTGGCTGAAGCCAGTCTGAGTCTGACTGCTCGACTAAGATAGCGGGTCTCCACCCCAGAGTCCGTCATTCAGCTGTTTCAAGTGTACATGCTCTTTGCAGACCTTGGGAACCCAAAATCTTCAGGTCAGCATGCGCCAGCAATATATTGCCACTTTGCTTGTCACTTTGACTGAGAGAGATCACGGCGTCATGTTTTGGCCCAGTGCGACCAGGGAGGTCGCGATTGGGTGTTTGTCGCTCTTGCTTGCTTGCTTGCTTGCCTGCTTGCTTGCTTGCATTTCAGCTGCCACGCAGTTTGCACATCAAGCGTCCAGGACTGCAACCCATGACAGTGCAAGAATTAATCTACTGACATCTTGATTGAGGAGTGGCGAGTCAGGCGTGCCCATCATGGCTGGCTGCCGAAACATGATGGCGGATGGCAATGTACTTTGAATGTTACAGCAGTGAGCTTCACGTTGATTGTTACGTGATGCGTGTCAAGTAACATTCTCGTGGAGCGACTGGCTAAATGCAAAGAGCTGGCCTCTTCAAAGCCAGGGAAGTTAACTTATAGACGCAGCGCACAGTGCTTTCAGTGCACTTGATGGCCCGAGATCCCTCATGGCAATGGGCCTGGCCGGGCCACCGCCAACAGACTGAGCTGTAAGGATTGAGAATGATGGTGAGAAGTTTTTCGGGTTTGATGTTCGGACATGAGGTGGTGGAAACGGCTGAGAATCTGACAACATGCTGCCATGCAAGGGCGCACACACACACTTGTATTTTATATATGCTGCAACCTGTTTTAGAGCACACGCGCAGAAACATCTGGGTCCTGAATTTGAGGCCTTCTTGAAAGGGGCTGGGAAGCCAAATTGCTAACGCCGTTCTCTGCATTCTCCGGGTGGCACGCTATTGTTGCTATTGAACATGTCGATCATTCCACGTGAGTTGAAAGGTTGAAGGTGGGTGAGATGGGAGGCGGGAGAGAGTAACGTTCAATGGGCTCGACTGTTACACTTGCCTGAAATATGTGACGCTGACTGGCACTTGCGCACGTACTTAACGCGACCCTACTTCGAAAATTGACATCGCATGGTCATTCCCATGGAGGCAAAGTCCATCAATGGCTTTGGTGCAAGAGCTTTTGTGTGCCTGTCTACCTCAACCCAGACACATTCCAAGACGGGCATCTATAGTCACCTTCGCCCTCTCCGTGACATTGGCAACACCTCGGTTGCGTATTGCAGACAGGCGAACGTGTGATTGCAAAATCACAGATTAAGTAGATGAAGGAGAACAATGGGGCAGAAGTTTTGCATATTTAACCGCCGCTGGCGTGTTCCGCCGGCCACGTGGCTCCCAGGTGAAAGGGCCCAAGGTGTTTGGAGCATTGAGTATATCATTAGACATTATCAGACAGACTTACATGGACATATACGGAAATTCATGCTATAACATAAATGATGCCAGATGAAATTTGCGAATATATGATACCATACGAAATAAGAAGCGGAAAGGGGCGGAGGGGCAAGGAGTGCAGGAGGACCAGTGGCTGGCATGTATGTATCAGGCAACATCAAACATAAGCAGAGACAAACGACATCCACAGGACACGCCGAGAAATGAGACTAGGAAGTTTGACAATAGATAACACCATACGAAATAAGAAGCAGAAGGCAGGCGCAAGGCACGAAGTTAAGGAGAACATGGGCAGAGACAAACGACATCCACAGGACACGCCGAGAAATGAGACTATGATGTTTGACAATAGAGAACACCATACGAAATAAGAAGCAGAAGGCAGGCGCAAGGCACGCAGGTAAGGAGAACATGGCTGGCCTGTCAGCAACGTCCATATCTCGTATTATTTGTGTTTTCATGATATGACATACATGATGCCAGATGGAATTAGAGAATATATGATACCATACGAAATAAGAAGCGGAAAGGGGCGGAGGGGCAAGGAGTGCAGGAGGACCAGTGGCTGGCATGTATGTATCAGGCAACATCAAACATAGGCAGAGACAAACGACATACACAGGACACGCCAAGAAATGAGACTATGACGTTTGACAATAGAGAACACCATACGAAATAAGAAGCAGAAGGCAGGCGCAAGGCACGAAGTTAAGGAGAACATGGGCAGAGACAAACGACATCCACAGGACACGCCGAGAAATGAGACTATGATGTTTGACAATAGATAACACCATACGAAATAAGAAGCAGAAGGCAGGCGCAAGGCACGCAGTTAAGGAGAACACGGCTGGCCTGTCAGCAACGTCCATATCTCGTATTATTTTTGTTTTCATGATATGACATAAATGATGCCAAATGAAATTTGCGAATATATGATACCATACGAAATAAGAAGCGGAAAGGGGCGGAGGGGCAAGGAGTGCAGGAGGACCAGTGGCTGGCATGTATGTATCAGGCAACATCAAACATAAGCAGAGACAAACGACATCCACAGGACACGCCGAGAAATGAGACTAGGACGTTTGACAATAGATAACACCATACGAAATAAGAAGCAGAAGGCAGGCGCAAGGCACGAAGTTAAGGAGAACATGGGCAGAGACAAACGACATCCACAGGACACGCCGAGAAATGAGACTATGATGTTTGACAATAGAGAACACCATACGAAATGAGAAGCAGAAGGCAGGCGCAAGGCACGCAGTTAAGGAGAACACGGCTGGCCTGTCAGCAACGTCCATATCTCGTATTATTTTTGTTTTCATGATATGACATAAATGATGCCAAATGAAATTTGCGAATATATGATACCATACGAAATAAGAAGCGGAAAGGGGCGGAGGGGCAAGGAGTGCAGGAGGGCCAGTGGCTGGCATGTATGTATCAGGCAGCATCAAACATAAGCAGAGACAAACGACATCCACAGGACACGCCGAGAAATGAGACTAGGACGTTTGACAATAGATAACACCATACGAAATAAGAAGCAGAAGGCAGGCGCAAGGCACGAAGTTAAGGAGAACATGGC